AAAAAAAAAAAAAAAAAAAAAAAAAAATTAAGCAAGCAACATACATAAATGCGAAGTTGTATTGAGTCACCCTTATTTGACATTATTGTTGATATAACCAAAAGTACTATAAAAATTTATATACTTAAAAAGGAAGGAGGTGGAGGTGAAGATATTCTAGAAATTTCCTTGACAATAAGCTTGGGAACCACTGATTTATGGTACGACCTGAGACGCAAAACTTATATGTATGTTAAGTGTTACCCAAGCTTCTCATTACTAATATCAGTCTGGACATCAAAACCAAGATTACAGACTACAGCCTTGTCGATACGAGTAATGGAGATAAGCGAAGTACTGGATAAACAACCGAATTCCAAGTAGTCTGACCACCTCTGACATCACTTCTTGGACACGCCCGCCGAGCAAGGCCATTCATCTGAACACGGCTTAACATACGTGACACACCACTCATTCCCTGCTCATGTTTCATCACTCACGTCCCTGCCTCTATACACGCATCATTATTTACCTCTTTCTTTATATTTCTTTTACTTTACTTACACTTTTCCTTTACAAACACTTCCATTCCTTTTACTCACTTGTCTTCCCCTCCCGGTATTTCCGAGTTGATACTGACATCTTTCGACTCCTTTTGGTGTTGAAATTGACTTATTACCCCCGCAATATATGCATTATAGTCTATGATAGCATATAAGAGATTTTATGATAGTCTATCATATGATTGATGTATATATAGAAATGATGTTGATTGGCTGATAAACGTAAACACACACATACAATGTATATACATATTTATGAATGAATGTTGCACATATGACATACGGTATGCCTTTGAATATATGTTGCAACATTATATAATAGAATAAAAATGTTTGCAAAAATCGTATTTGTCGAATTTCGTCTTAACTGCAAAGGTCGTCCAACAATGCTACACGACAACGAATTGGAGATTTAGCTACGTCGTGTGAGAGCCAATTGGTCCATAGGAAGGGGTTGGTGGGTTGGGTGAGTAGGGGGTTGGGTGGGTAGGAATTCCACAATTATCACCATGCTCGTACTAATATATATATATATATATATATATATATATATATATATATATATAATATATTATATATTCACATAAGTAATAATAATGAAAATACCATTGACTGAAAAATTGAAAACACAAGGCTTGGCTGCCAAACTACATGATTCATAAATACATATGAACAAATATAAACAACACCAAATAATAACTGTTTAATTCCTTACATGTGGTACGTGTGTCAGGTCACGTGTTGTGGTTTTACTGCTGATTTTTATTTTTATTATTTTTTTAATTGCACAATATGATTCAGCAATGACCGCCTCTATGAACTTTCGTACTTACGTCCTCCTCTCAAGAACTGGGCTGTGGAGAATCGGCTGCAGGTCCTAATCTGGGACATAAGCATAGAACTTTGTGCTGGAATACCATGGCATATATTATGTTCACTCTAGTTTTAGTATATTTTGTTTAACAAATATATTGTTCCACAAGCACTGTCACCAAGGAATTAATTGTCTCTGCTGTTCCCATTTCCCTTGATTTTCTTCTTTTTTCCTTTTTTTTTATTAATAATACTAAGGAATTACCCAAGAAAAAATCGTAACCTTCAGTTGTCATATTATATTTTGTAATAAATACACACTAAATATTTTATCTAAAAAAAAAAAAAAATCCTTGTCCGTGATCAAGATTCAGAGTTCAACTATCTGACAATTTACTTGGATTCGTCGGAGTCATAGGTGTAGGCTGGCCTTGGTGGCCTGTACTCCCGGGACTCGAAGGAAGCGGACTCGTAGGAGTCGGGGAAACGAGCCTCGCCCTCGTAGTTGACCTCGGCCACGTAGCCGTCGTCGCCGTCCACGAAGTACTTGACGTTCTGCAGACGGGTGTCGGGAAGCCTCACGTAGTAGGATCCCTGAGTGTCTTCACCGTCACGGGCTTCCTGGTGTCCGAAGTCGTTGCCGGAGTCTTCGTGCTGAACGGCATAATTGAAGTCGTACTTGGCTTCTCCTGACTCGTACGACTCGAATGACTCTTCGGAAGAATCCTAAAAGTAGAAATAAATAGAATTATGTGCTCTTTCTTAAGATATATTTTTAACTGTAAATTAATTATATCCTTTTTATCATGCTTAATCAGTGTGACCTTTTTGTTTCTATTTTTTTCTCTGCCTTCATATTCCTTGACTATTGTTAGTAGATCTCACTTACCCGAGGAGGTCCATAAGCGAAAATCTCTGGGCTGTCTGCAAACACGACAGCTGCCAGACCAAGAAGGATGAAGACCTATAGTGAAGACATTATCAGTAAATGTGTACTATGGGAAATACCTGTGTTCCTTCTACATCACACGCATTTAACATTACCTCTAGCACAGGCATGTTTACTTACTTTGGTGTTCATGATTGTAGCTTCCCAAGGAATGAGTGATGCTGCACCCACTGATATTCCTTATATACTGAAGTCCTGATGCTCCAGCACTAGTTTTTGTACTAACTGCCCATCGGTGCCAGGTACCGGAATCTTCCGAAGAGAAGCAAACGTAGACAAGGTCAGTGACGTATTCTGTGCTTCGTCAGTATATTTCTTTTCTTACCTAAGCGGTTTCGTAAAGAAAATTTTTATCTACTGCTAGTACTATTAGTAGTAATTCTACAACTACAATATATATACATGATTTTGCCTCTGAGTTGTGGGTTATTCTTGCATTGCATTTCTTTGAATTTTACGGGGGAATACATTACAATGTATGAATGCTTACATGTGTATGTAGTATCTTTCATCAAGGTCTGTATTATTAACAAGTCATTTTGCTAATATTATGGTATGCCTATTATACTTACGTATGGAAATATTTTACGGGTACGTGTTCGTTCTATATAAATGAAAATATAGTTTTATGCAGTACTGGTTAAGTATTCAACAAGATAATGTATGTAGATGCAAGTATGACAATTTCATTAAGTTCTGCTATAACTACCGGAAAGTTTTAACAATGCAATTAGGAACCTTAAAAAAAAACGTGATTATATATAGAGATATACATATTTAAATAGCTTTCAGTATATATGTAATGCCAAGGTCAATTGAAAGAATTGTATGTTCTTCTATGGGAACAATTATACATAATCAAATCAGGTATAATGCCTTGTTTGCTTTTTCTATAGTATTTCGGGAAGAGGACCTTCTTGTAGTTAGCGTACCTATACTGGGGAATTATCAATTGTGTAATGATTGAGCATCTTAATAGAGATTTGCAATAGAATAGAATAGCTACCTCTTTGTAGACTATACCTTGCTCTTCAAAGATCGAGCAACCATTCTACGTAAAACAGTCTATCCGTAGCAGCAGTTTCTTTAATTTCCAGATTGGCGAGATCCGTGACATGCCTACAGTACGAATGTACATCAGAAAAAAATACGGACGAGATCTGACTGCAGACAAAGCACGAGAAAGCTAAAATATTCAAATAAATACATTTCTTTGTATTTATCGTCGATGCACACGCATAAGCTTAAGATAAGGGTGTTAGATAGTTTGGTTATACCCACGTGGTATCCATGTTTCAACACTCACAAAGTGCAGAAAAAGAAATAGTTTTAGCAAACATACAAGTAAAGAAAAAGACAGTGGCCAAGAGTTCAGCTGACTAAACAAGGAACATCCGTACGTGACATTGTTGATGATATAACCAATAAGTACTGCATAATTAAATATCTAAAGAGGACAGGAGTTGGGGATAGGATAATATATATATATATATATATATATATATATATATATATATATATATATATATATATATATATATATATATATATATATATATATATATATATATATATAGTGTGTGTGTGTGTGTGTGTGTGTGTGTGTGTGTGTGTGTGTACATAAATTTGGCCTCAAACTGTATAAACAACCGAATTCCGAGTAGTTTGACCGCCTCTGACCTCAAGCAAACCCGCCGACCAATTATACTTATTTACATACTTTACTTGCTTTTACGAGCTCCCCATCAACTCTCAGCATTTCTATTGCGATTTTGACATCCTATGACTATTTTAGTGTGAAATTGACATCCATCTCATATAAATATGAAATATACGTTCAGGGTCGGCAGGGTCGAAAGGGTTAGGTAAGGCATAAATTTGTTACCATAACTGTACAGATATATATATATATATATATATATATATATATATATATATATATATATATATATATAACAAGCATTAACTAATAAAAATATCAAACTTAAGGCTTCGCTACCAATGGTAAAAATTACAAGTTTAGCGATACCAAAAAGCACAAAATATAAATGTAATAATATTATGTTTACTTTTTTATATGGTACCTGTATTAGGTGACGCCTTGCGGTTGAAATACTGAAATTCTTATAAAATGTTTGTATGTGCAAACTGACGTATAATACTTTGTGTGAACTTATCGTTTCTACGTGATCTGACTAGGTACTACGGTCTATAGTATGCGGGTCAGAATAAGGCCATGTCAGAGGTCCGACTTTGGGAAATATTCATAGATACACTTGTACGGGAACCATTTTTCTTCCATAAATAATATGACTCTTTCAGCTGCAATAGCATGACGTGCATGTCACGTTCATTATGATTTTAATCTATTTGTTTATTCGTGGATGGTTCTAAAATAATTTTAAAATTAGTTTAAAGAATGGGTACGTGCAGAATAGTATCTTGTAACTTCACCTTGTTTTGTACTTTCAGAGCACCGCTTTAATGCTCACAGCTGTCAACATCAATATTCGGCTTGAACCTTAATTCTGTAATTTGTATTTTTTTAATGGTGAATTACAGAGTTGGTTAATTAAACTTACAGAAAAGCGAGGGAGAAGGCCTAATCATAAGGTTTAGTATGAAAGCCAAAAACACGAAGAGGGAGTTTAACATATTTTTGATAATAATAACTAAGATATTAAACAAGCAAGTGGTCATATTTCCTAATTTATTTACAATAAATATCTTACATGAAAATCCTTGTCCGAGATCATGATTCAGAGGTCAAATAGCTGACAATTTACTTGGACTCGTCGGAGTCATAGGTGTAGGCTGGCCTTGGTGGCCTGTACTCCCGGGACTCGAAGGAGGCAGACTCATACGAGTCGGGGAAACGAGCCTCGCCCTCGTAGTTGACCTCGGCCACGTAGCCGTCGTCGCCGTCCACGAAGTACTTGACGTTCTGCAGACGGGTGTCGGGAAGCCTCACGTAGTAGGATCCCTGAGTGTGTTCACCGTCACGGGCTTCCTGGTGTCCGAAGTCGTTGCCGGAGTCTTCGTGCTGAACAGCATAATTGAAGTCGTACTTGGCTTCTCCTGACTCGTACGACTCGAATGACTCTTCGGAGGAATCCTGAAAGAGTAACATACATGTGGATCAATTTTCTTTATAACACTATCAAACGAAAATGGATACAAGTATATTCGGTAATTCTTTTTTTTATATATCTGTGTTTTTTTTCTACTATTATTTCCCTTGAATATCGATGAGATATAAACACTTACCCTAGGAGGTCCATAAGCGAAAATCTCTGGGCTGTCTGCAGCAACGACGGCTGCCAGACCAAGGAGGATGAAGATCTAAAGTGAAAAGGTTATCTTAACATTCTTAGCACAGGCAGTGATCATGATGCTTCTACATCACACAGTTATTGATATATTTTCTAGAGCAGATATATGCACACTTACCTTAGTGTTCATGGCTGTACTTTCTCAAGGAATGAGTGATGCTGTACCCGTCGATGTCCTTTATATACCAAAGTCTCAGTCCACTTGTTCTAGTTTTTATACGTACTGTTAACTGCTCTTCGGTGTCAGATATGGATTTCTTAACAGGGCAATATATTTACAAAGGCGATTACCTCTTTCCGTGCATCATCAATGGTCATCTTTTATATAAATAAATTGGTAAATTAATTGATATATAGCATCTATATGAGTGTATATCTATGTATAATATGATATATTTGTGTTAATGAAAATAATCATTTTACATAATAAAACATCCATGTGTTAAAGGCAATTTAACTTAATCGAAAGGCATGTCTATGAATCATATGTATATATGAATGAGAGACTTTATTTATTGATTCTTAAACGTTTACAATATTTTAACATTTTATCTCGCAAAGCATTCTCCGCTGATGACCTTAGCTGTTAGCTGAGATGATTCCAAACAATCAATTATACTTTATCAATATCATATCGGTGCATCTTTATTAAGCCATATTCTTCATATTGGTCTCCCCGGCTCTATGTATTTTCTTTTATTCCAACTTAGCCGAAGTAAGAACTCTACAAAACCATAGAAAAAAATGGGTCATACTTTATCGTCCCCTTTTATAGTATATGAAATTAACGTTCTATCAAACAAAAACAAAAATACCATCATTATCAATGAAGCAATAAACGAGTAAAGTTATCGCCGACATGATTCTCTTGTTTAGTGTTAGTGTGGCAGAGAAACCTGATTCACGGAGGTATGTGGTGACAAAACAGTCTGGCCAGTTCCAGTGTATTAGTGTAAATGCTGTTAGGGTACCACGAGAAATCTGCCCCCGATTTCTCATCTTTACCCAGGGGTTACATCAAGTCCCTGATGAGGCTTATTGGTATATATCATTAGGAAATTGTTGGATATAAGATTATCATATCGCACGCATATGTGTGGTATGGAGTAGTAATATTGCTGAAGCGCTTCTAGTCCTATCACTGCCAGTGAATGGTTACTCCGTCTTTTCCGTATGCACAAGGGATAATTTGAAAGCACAATAAACAGACCGCCACAAATTGATTGAATTAACAAGGACCAAAACATAATTCATGATTTTTATTATCTCAAATATACACACACAAAAGTACGTTTTCATGAACACGTACATTCCGTATAATCATAAATAAGAGTTTTATGCAGATCAATTTGGCAATAGTGTGTAGCAAAATAAATTAAAAGGATGTATTTGTATATCTGGAAATGTCAACTACATTCAGGCATCATACACATTGCAAATCTCTAGTAGGGAGTGAAGTCCAATAGATTTTTTTTTCTTTTCAATTAGTAAGTCGTGTGAAAATGGAAATGGCGTGTTATTACCATGGTAATCTAATTTGTAAGTATATCTTATTATCCAGTTAGAGCATGCTATCATTCCAGATATTCAACATGAAAGGTTAATAAATTCTGTAGAATGTAGAGGAACAGACACGCTAAATTAGGAAAAGGAAAACAATACCTTTTCTACCGTTTAGAACGAATCAGAGGGAGGAGCGAGAAAGGTCCTTGTAAACCGAAGTGGCTGTCAGTTTCTGAAAGATTATATGAAATGTATTTGTAATTTCCTATGTCTAAAATAGCCAATAACTTCTTCCTATATTTCACACTGCCTTTAATTAAAATAGCTATATTCACCAAGCACTAGCGCACAAACTGTATATTTTTAAAGATGGGTAATAAGCGGTCAACCTAAATACAGCAAAAGTAAAAAAAAAAAAAAAAAACTGAAACATATTTCATTATATATCAATTTTATGGTACAGACAGTCACCTGCAGATTGCAACAACTGAGGGTAATAGGATGCCCAAGGAATTTCCTGTGTTGCAGTTATTTGCATTGCACAACTTGTTGGTAGTTAAGCTTATATGTATTTTCAGTGAAAAGTTGTTAAACTTTAGATTACTTAATTCTATTAAATAATTAAATTATTAAAAAAATAAATAATCGAGGATCTATTTGAATCTCCTTTTTAAGAGAAAGAGAGAGCGATTACGTGCTTGCATATTTGAAGTGAAAGCTCTGGTCACTTGAGGCAATATCATTACATCAGATTTCATAATAGGAAAGAGGAGCGCGTCTTTGATTGCATCCATGAAATTATGAATGATATATAATAAAGTTCCCCGATTAACATTATTATTGCCATTTCCTGTTTCTCGAGGAAAGGACAAATAGCCTGATTCAGAATTTGGACGCTGTCAAGGAAAAATAACTTGGAAAACATGTTTTCCTTAAAATATTATCTCAGGCTGCGTGTATCTTTTACATGTGTGTGTGTGTGTGTGTTAGATGGCTGTAATTACTACCATTTGATTGTATTCTTTCATTAAGACAGGAAAAAGCTATCTTCAGTTCTAGCAGTGCAATGTTGTTTATAAAAGCTCATAGAAAAGTAATAAGGAAGAGGTTACATTAAACAAACAAGTGTTCATATTTCCTAATTTACTTACAATAAATATCTTATTAAATAATATAAATCCTTGTCCGAGATCATGATTCAGAGGTCAAATAGCTGACAATTTACTTGGACTCGTCGGAGTCATAGGTGTAGACTGGCCTTGGTGGCCTGTACTCCAGGGACTCGAAGGAGGCAGACTCATACGAGTCGGGGAAACGAGCCTCGCCCTCGTAGTTGACCTCGGCCACGTAGCCGTCGTCGCCGTCCACGAAGTACTTGACGTTCTGCAGACGGGTGTCGGGAAGCCTCACGTAGTAGGATCCCTGAGTGTGTTCACCGTCACGGGCTTCCTGGTGTCCGAAGTCGTTGCCGGAGTCTTCGTGCTGAACAGCATAATTGAAGTCGTACTTGGCTTCTCCTGACTCGTATGACTCGAATGACTCTTCGGAAGAATCCTAAAAGTAGAAATAAATAGAATTATGTGCTCTTTCTTATTATATATTTTTACTGTAAATTAATTATATGCTTTATCATGCTTAATCAGTGTGACCTTTTTCAATTTTTTCTCTGCTTCATATTCCTTGACTATTATTAGATCTCACTTACCCGAGGAGGTCCATAAGCGAAAATCTCTGGGCTGTCTGCAAACACGACAGCTGCCAGACCAAGAAGGATGAAGACCTATAGTGAAGACATTATCAGTAAATGTGTACTATGGGAAATGCCTGTGTTCCTTCTCCATCACACGCATTTAACATTACCTCTAGCACAGGCATGTTTACTTACTTTGGTGTTCATGATTGTAGCTTCCCAAGGAATGAGTGATGCTGCACCCACTGATATTCCTTATATACTGAAGTCCTGATGCTCCAGCACTAGTTTTTGTACTAACTGCCCATCGGTGCCAGGTACCGGAATCTTCCGAAGAGAAGCAAACGTAGACAAGGTCAGTGACGTATTCTGTGCTTCGTCAGTATATTCTTTTCTTACCTAAGCGATTTCGTAATGAAAAAAAATATCTACTACTACTACTATTTGTAGTAATTCTATAACTACAATATATATTACATGATTTTGCCTCGAGTTGTGTGTTATTCTTCCATTGCATTTCTTTGAATTTTACGGGGGAATACATTACAATGTATGAATGCTTACATGTGTATGTAGTATCTTTCATCAAGGTCTGTACTATTAACAAGTCATTTTGTTAATATTATGGTATGCCTATTATACTTACGTATGGAAATATTTTACGTGTACGTGTTCGTTCTATATAAATGAAAATATTGTTTTATGCAGTACTGGTTAAGTATTCAACAAGATAATGTATATAGATGCAAGTATGACAAATTCATTAAGTGCTGCTATAACTACCGTAAAGTTTTAACAATGCAATTAGGAATCTTAGAAAAAAAACGTGATTATATATAGAGATATACATATTTAAATAAGTTTCAGTATATATGTAATGCCAAGGTCAATTGAAAGAATTGTATGTTCTTCTATGGGAACATTTATACATAATCTAATCAGGTATAATGCATTGTTTGCTTTTTCTATAGTATTTCGGGAAGAGGACCTTCTTGTAGTTAGCGTACCTATACTGGCGAATTATCAATTGTGTAATGATTGAGTATCTTAATAAAGATTTGCATAAAATATCTACCTCTTTGTAGACTATGCCTTGCTCTTCAAAGATCGAGCAACCATTCTACGTAAAACAGTCTATCCGCAGCAGCAGTTTCTTTAATGTCCAGATTGGCGAGATCCGTGACATGCCTACAGTACGAATGTACATCAGAAAAAAATACGGACGAGATCTGACTGCAGACAAAGCACGAGAAAGCTAATATATTCAAATAAATACATTTTTTTTGTATTTATCGTCTATGCACACGCATAAGCTTAAGATAAGGGTGTTAAATAGTTTGGTATTATACCCACGTAGTATCCATGTTTCAACACTCACAAAGTGCAGAGAAAGAAATAGTTTTAGCAAACATACAAGTAAAGAAAAAGACAGTGGCCAAGGGTTCAGCTGACTAAACAAGGAACATCCGTACGTGACATTGTTGATGATATAACCAATAAGTACTGCATAATTAAAATATCTAAAGAGGACAGGGGTTGGAGATGGGATTTTCTAATATCTCTCTCTCTCTCTCTCTCTCTCTCTCTCTCTCTCTATATATATATATATATATATATATATATATATAATATATATATATATATATATAATATATATATATATACATAATATATATATATATATATATATATATATATATATATAATATATATATATATATATATATACATACATATATATATAATATATATATATATATATATATATATATATATATGTGTGTGTGTGTGTGTGTGTGTGTGTGTGTGTGTGTGTGTGTGTGTGTGTGTGTGTGTGTGCGTGTGTGTGTGTGTGTGTGTACATAAATTTGGCCTCAAACTGTATAAACAACCGAATTCCGAGTAGTTTGACCGCCTCTGACCTCGCATCCAGCAAACCCGCCGACCAATTATACTTATTT